AGAAGTTGTTGCGCAAAGTTGTCCTGCAAATGACTTCATGGATTTGAAAGTATTCCCAGTGTTTGATCATCTTATTATCCGCTATCATTTTCATTGCTGCTTAACGCCCTGCTTTGTCCGGTGTCTGTTGAAGAGTGGGGGGCGTACTGGGCCTCTGTATAGGGGCTGGCCACAGGCTGCTGCTCTGCTGGCTCAAGCTGCTGCTGTGTTTAGCCTGACTAGAAAGGCTGAACATATTGGGGATTCAACGGCCACCTGGTTTTCTCTTTGAGCAGTTGTCACTGTCTTTATCTTTGCTAAATAATTGCCTTTAAGAATCAGGGTGTTTGGGATGTACGCATGCAAAGCATCCACTGCTTTAGGTGTCCAGAGATAGACTGTGTTTTGGAAGGGACAGAGGCTGAAGGGAGAAAAAAGTCCTGTTGGGTATTGTCCATGGAGACTTCATATTTGCCATTCCCACCCCCTTAAAAAGTGATGCTGCCACGAAGCTGAGGTTTGCTGTAATCTAAGACCTGAAGAGGTGAGGGTAGCTGATGTCTCTCATCTCCTAGTTTGCCTGATACATAAAAAGAGCCCGTTTCTTACTGCCTTATGTTTTCTACAAATCCCCAGCTTGTACCACTCTGAGCAGTGTGCAACACTGCTTGCCAGGGGTCGAGGCTGGATAACCAAAAGTAGGCAAAAATATTTTGTTACCTCTCTGTAATTTGAAGGCAGTAGGAGTTAGGATCCTTCACAGCTTTGTGGATGTAGGTCTATGCCTTCACCAAAAACATGCTGAAAAATCTCAGTGGCCTTAACATACAAACCCATTTAGATGAGTAGTAACTGGGTGTCCTACTTAGGAAAGGGGTTTGAAGGGCTATGTAGTCCTCGACAGCACTGTAAGACTCGCATGCGCGCTACAAACCAATGCCAAAATCCTACAAATGGCATTCTGCGAGTACCAATATGAAGTTAAAAAGCAAGACTGTCCCATAATTTTGTGTCCTACTGAAGAGATGAGGTGGTACTACGACAGCATTGGCTGTGCATGTTCATATGCAGAGTGTGGCAGGTGAAATTGCCATCGGATGACAGTCTGTGGATATGTGCTGCCTGTGGAAATGCAGCTGCAAGCTGCAGGAGGGATGGGCAGGCCACCCCGGCACCTCTTGCCTTTATTAAGGCAAGAGGTGCCTCTTGAGATGTTTGCTATGATGCCATGATGCTTAAAATGTTTACTATGGCTGCCCAAGGGCAGTTGGAGTGGGTAGAGTCACTGCCTCTAAAATGAAAAGATTATCTAAACTGGCAGAGGTCGTCCTGAGTAAAAGATTCCTAGGTGGATACTTTGGTAAAACTGCTGCTGGGAGATGGTTGCTGAAACCTGCAGCTAAAAGAGCACTCCAGACAGAGGGAAATTCTATTTCAGCTTCTACTTCTATTTCCTCACTAGCCCAAAGAGGTGTAGAGTCTCTGCAGGCCATGTACCTACCATTGAAACAGCAGGAGTGTACTTGGGATATAAAGGGCACTATTTCATCTTGGTGGAAACCCTTAAGATCCGGGTTTGGCTTTCAAACCCATTGAATTGAGACGTTTTGAGCTTTCTCAGGTAGCAAGAAGAGGCAATTACATGGCAAAGTACCTTTCTGCAAACAGCCCTGTTGTTCAGCACAGCATCTCTCAGTAAATGTGGGGGTTTTCTGGAGCCAAGCAGTGAGAGCCTCATTTCCTCTGAGGCTTAATCTGACAATCAAGAGAGCTAATGAAGCTTACTTTCTTGACTCATGTTTTATAAATCGCTGTCTCTCCCAAAGATACTGCTAGAAGAAATTCGTTTGAGTGGAACAGGACTTCTGAGGCTTCCAGGGGTCTTTAAACTGCATATCTTGGGCCTCCAGAGGCTTTAAAGCAAAATCTCACCTCTCAAAAATTAACATGGAACATGGAACTTGAAATTCAACAGTAAACTGCTGGTACCAGGGAGATGTTTTCAGCTCTATGTTTCTGTGCACTTTCAATTCCAAGCTTTTGAGAACATGGTCCCTTTTAATTAAAATGTCACTGCCGCTGAGGCAAATCCTACCTGTTCAGGCTGCTAGTGTTACCCTGCTTTTATCCTGCTGTCAGCATAAAAGCAGCCTGCCTGGAGTTAACCCTTGTTTCTAGCTGCATTCTTCCCTGAGGATCAGCATACCTTTGTTACCATGTTGGCTTTCTTGTGGCTAGATCTTGAAGCTGAAAAAGGGCCATGCTTTGCTGGAGTTTGCACTAAAAGGAAAGAAAAAACCCCAGAAAGGTAGTGCTGGGAGGCCTGATTGCAGTTTGTTTGATGTGGCATGGGTGGGAGGGAAAGGTAAAGCTCTTACTCTATGTGATTGGCACGTTAAGCCTGCACATTGTAAACCATTATTGCTCCCTTTAGATTGAAATCCCTGTGCACAATGTCAGGGAAATTATTCCCGTATCCTGTAGGATGTTGTTAAGTAGTTACCAGTTTAAAAGCCAACTCCAGGAAAGGTACCCAGAAAGGTACCTGCTGCCACATGCCTGCTCTCTGACCTGTCAGCAGAGCAGCTTTGAGGTACATGGGTGCTCCTCATCAGAGCTGCTCACTGACTCACCCCTACAAGAGGTGGCCCTGTAGAAAATACTCTCTCCCTCTTTAATTTTTTGCTTCCTGTACTGTAACCTGCTTCCCGCAGCTTTGCTTCTTTGCTGAAGTAGGGCAGAGGGCCTCTGTACAAAGAGCAAAGGAAATATTTAAGCACTTGAAATAACCTGTGGCATGAATCAGAATATCTCAGGTACGCGGGGAAGCCACCACCTTCGTCCTGTGTGCCCAGCAGTGGCAGGGTGCCTGCTGGCTGGCAGCCATGAGACCTCAGGCTGAGTACAGGCAACTTCTGCTTGTAATACACCTTCTTGGGTACTCTGGGTGCTCATTTTGAGATGCTTTTCGAGGGGGCAGTGGCAGGTGATCCTCAACTTCCCCAAAGGTCAGCAGCAGGCTAGAGCTGCTCTTTCTGTGGGGTGCTAATGCAATTTTGTTCCATGCAGGATGAATTTGACAAGCTCAGGCCTCTGTGCTACACCAACACGGACATCTTCTTGCTGTGCTTCAGTGTGGTGAGCCCTTCATCCTTCCAGAACGTGAGTGAGAAGTGGGTTCCTGAAATTCGATGCCACTGCCCCAAGGCACCCATAATCCTGGTTGGGACACAGTCGGACCTCCGGGAGGATGTCAAAGTCCTCATCGAGCTGGACAAGTGCAAAGAAAAGCCAGTCTCGGAGGAAGCTGCGAAGCTCTGTGCCGAGGAAATAAAAGCTGCGTCCTACATTGAGTGCTCTGCTTTGACTCAGAAAAACCTCAAGGAGGTCTTTGATGCAGCCATCGTGGCTGGTATTCAGTACTCGGATACCCAGCAGCAACCAAAGAAATCCAAGTGTAGGACTCCAGACAAGATGAAAAACCTCTCCAAATCCTGGTGGAAAAAATACTGCTGTTTTGTATAGGGATTGCAAGGACCTGAGTGCTGCTCTGAGGAAATCAAATAGAGGCTATATTAGCTGAAATCTCGATTTGTGTTGTCCCGAGTGTATAGTGTAGATCTGTATGTATATGTATATGTTGCTACTGGATATCTCAGTTACCCTTTTGAGGGTTGCAGAAGGATTCTTAGTTAAATAATTGCTATAAATCAGGTCTGGCATCCAGTTTTGTGACTAAAACTTCTCATTAAGGAAAAAAAAGCACCATGTGTCTGTGAGCGTAGAAGGATTTGTCCAAAGGATTCAACTTCTTGTGTTGTAAGGTGTATGTGATTGATTGGGAGGAACACACACCAGAGGCCTTCACTGCCAAGGCTTCGTAGGAAGAACGCACAAGTAACGGTGGAAGTGTAGAGCTCTGTACATGGATGATCAAAGGGAAAAATAACACTGTGCCTCCTAATTGACATTTGTAGCTTTAAAACCCCATTCCTGCTGTCTTCTCTGTGTCTTCCCAAACCAACACTCTTAGGGATCACTTTAAAAAGGGTATGCAAGAGGTGTAATCTATACGCAAATGCCATAGTTAAAAAGGTCAAGAGTATACCTTCAGCTTGTGGTGAGGGAACCTAATCCTTTATGGAGCTGACATCTCATTTGCCACCTCCTGACTTTGTGAAAGTCCTTTCTGTGCTCCTTCCCCTGCCTTTCCCAGGAAGCCGAGTGGAAGCCCAAGAACATGACCAAACTTTAACTCGCTACCTCGAGCAGTGGCGATTTCCTCTGTATTTTTGCAGATGTGATGGCAGTTCATCTGTTTCAGTTGAAAGGAATGTAAATACTGTTGTGTTGGGTTTTTTGGTTTTTTGGGTTTTTTAAGCGATGTAACCAATATCCATGCAGCACCACGTAAACCGCATCTGTTTTTTAAATCTGCAGCGGGGAATTTCAGGATGCCCGTCCTTGTGTTTTAAGGCTGCTAAACAAGTAACAAATCAGGCAGATTGAGATTTATAACAAACTGGACTCTAGAAACTGAGACTGGTGCATCTTCTTTATGATGCCGTTTTCAACCAATTTAGTGTTTCGCTTCTAAAGGGCACCAGTCACTTTTGGTTGAATCTTGTCCAAGCTTATAGTTGTGGAATTGGCTGAGGCCACCCTGGAAATATAACTAATAATTCTTTTTTTTCTCAGATCAGTCCAACAGATTAACTGAAATGTGCCTAAAATGTAGCTGGGGAATCAGTGTAGAGTTGAGTGTGACCTATTCTTTGAATCTACAAGGACTCCCTGAAACAATATCTCAGCCTTGGCCATATTGATCATCATAACTGGTCTACTCTGGCCTCCAATCGGGAGGCCTGGAGACACATCATCTATAACGCAGCTGTCTCCTTTGAGAATGCACGCAGGATCACTCTGGAGGAAAAAAGACAACGCAGAAAGAACCACGTCCTGCGGAATATACCATCTAAGGAGTCTTTCTGCTGTGCCTTTTACAATCGGATATGTCTATCTTGTATTGGCCTCATTAGCCACCAGCGTGCTTGCAACGAACGTGGATATAGCCTTCCTAAATCGTCGTTCGCGAAGCCTAGCCATGATGACGATTCTTTGAATCTGGTTCCTACTGAACTAAGCCTAACTGCAGTTGTAATGAGTTTGAGAGACCTGAGTGATAATGCGACTCTCTGCAAGAATCAGTATTTAAACTTATTCTGCAGAGGACGTTTAGTTTGTGCTGTTTGTCTGCCTTTTTGTGGCCACAACTACTTTTTCTTTTCCCCTAGATATTTCTAGATCAAATTATATTCCTTTTTTTTTCCCCTTTGGCCATAGCCTTGAAGTGACCTTTTCCTTATTCTTAAACTAAGCTGCAGTGACAGAAGGCCGGAATCTTTTTTCATCAGAAATTAATCAATGCCTGATATAAGGAACTGTGGAGGCCATTTGAGTTGAAAAAGCTGACCACAGTTTACCTTCTGGGCCATTAAGGAAAATGACACTCTGTGAATGGATTCTGGGCTGAATTGGCAGAGGCTGCACAAGCAATATTTTTTCCTTCTCTGCAGCTGAATGAATGCAGAATGGGTAATGTTCCATTGCTGAAAACTTGAAAATGGGATGGAAATCTTTACCTAGGGCCTAATTCAATAAAAATATGTTGGCTTCTGCACTGGAAGAGCCTGGAAAAACAGTTTCCATAGCACAGAAGCTGGATGCATTTAACTTGGTTTCATCTGGTTGTTAATGGTTTAACGTTTACTGGTCACAAAGCTAACATCTGAGCCTTTGTATTTGTTACTCAAATGCTTTGACAGGATTTCAGATATGCAGTCATACTGACATCTTGGAGAAAACCAGCCAGATTTCTCTTGGGTGCTTTGCTTGTCTGTAAAAAACAGTCTCAGTCGATCAAAAATGTGGTTTTGGGGAGGAGACAGGCTTGAATCTGAGCAGCTTCCATTTGCAAAAATAACAGAATTTCTTCTGCAAAATTATGCTTCTTGGTATCCTGCTGTACTGGAAGCAGTGGGTTATATTTTATAAGCGGCCTGTTTCATAGTCTGGAGTAGCATTACTTTTAAATATAGCCAGCTGTGACTGTTTCTGAAGATGTGATTTATATACAACTTGTTATAGCCCTTTACTAGGTGTGTGTAAACTGAGGTCTAATAACTTTATGGATACTTCTCTACACGGGGCTACACAGGGTCTAGGTTTTAGAAATATTACTTTTAAAATTACCAGTATTTTATGAACGCAAACGAGGGGGAGATGTCTCTATGTAGTTTATAATCTGATGTGCCTTATAAAAAAAACTCTCTTCTGTTTTCTAAGTGTAGGCTATATTCCAAAAGAAATATTTCATGTGAGAATGATATAAATGAGGTATTTGAAAATAAATTCTGACCTGTGTACGTGTCTGCCTCTGCTGCGTGCTCAAGGAGGCTGGAGGGCAGTCCCTGGACATGCACTGTGCCGATACCCAGCAGGGAGGAGGCAACTGCACTGCTAGCCTAGGACTGTGCTCTCAGTGCCCCATCAAAAGGCCTCTGCTCAAAAAATACAGCCTTTTCCCTGTGCTACCCGTCCCCAGGGGGGCTGGGCTGGGTGGAAAGGGTACGATAGCCAGCGTTCTGTCTCACTGCCAACACAGCAGCATCTTGCTGTGTCCCTGTGAGGCATGGGCAGGCTTGTTGTGCCTGGCCCCTGAAAGTGGGGTGAGCAGCCGGAGGAGCACAGCACAACTGGGGACAGCTGGGGGAACACCAAGACTGGTGATGTGGTCTTTTACCTGCTGCACATTGTGCCACACATGTCCTGGGGGAGCCGGAGGGCATTTTTGGAAGAGCAGAGCCCATTACCTCTTGGCACCAAGGGTCTCGTTACTCCTTCCTGGGTCCCGTCCCTCATGCCAGGGCCAAGGCATGTGAGGTCTGAGGCTTTTCATGCCCAGGACCTGGGTGGCCATAGCAGAGGGGCCTTCTGCACTTCAGTGCCACTGTGTTAGCCGAGTGGGGAGCAGCGTCTAGACTCCCAAGCATTTCCACAGAGCCAGTGTCCTGCTCTGAAACTGTTCTGGAGAAGGCGCTTTGCTCTGGACAAAGGTTAGTAAACTGTCCCTGTTGTGTTTGTTTTTCTGGGAGCTGAGAGGAGCAGACATGCTGTCTGGGGTGGCATACCATACCCTCCCATGCCGCCTGTCTCTTGGGTTGTGAGGCAGATGCATTTTCAACCATTAGAATGCACACAACCTGCACAAACTAGAGGAAGGAGATTGTTCCTTTTTCCAGTGATTGGTTCCTCACTGAAGCAAAGCCTTGGCTTCTTTTCTGCTTTTTAACGGTGATCCTGGGGACTACTGTGAGGCTGGTTTACCTTGTTCTGCCTGTAGCATAGTGACCCTGCCTGAGAGCCCAACTTGCCAGCAGACTCCTTTCTGGTGAGTACCTGGTGTTGAATCACCACTGCTGTTGCTGGTGCCTTCAAAGAACCACTTCCATGGGCTTTCTGTGCTGGACAGCGTGATCGGTGTGTACTGGCTGGGAACTGAATCTCCCCACCTTTGCGTGCTAACTTTGCAGGAAAGGGGGCTGTGCTAGCTGAGAAACCAGAACCTGCCATTGCCAAGTCCTGGCAGAAAAATCCCCCTGCTACCTGTGGGGTTTTGCTTTTCTGACATCTGGACAGGGCTAAAGCAGTTCAGCTTTATGCCAGGGTAATTTTGTGCATGTGGGTGCTGCTGTGATCAAGAGGCTCCCTCAGCTGTCCTGCTTCAGGTACTGGATGGGCCAGTGGCTGAGGCTGATAAGGAAGCCCACTGTACATAAGATTTTCCAGGAATGCTGAAATTGCTGCTGGTTTGTGATGGATGGAAGTTCCCAAGAGTGAATTTTGTTTTATTTCATGCAAAATTAAAATGCTCTAGGAAAAATTCAACTCTTTTTTTTTTTTGATGGAGAAAAAAGTCACCTTTACAATTTCCCCCTCTGTATTTTCTGGATTGGACACACTTCTAGGATATGATTGAGGATTGACTAGAGCTGAGACATTGACAAATATTGCAGTTTTGGGACAGGGTGTCTGTAAGGAAATTTCACCACACTATTACTTTGTTTTTGATTTTCTTTCTAGACATCAGCCACTGCCCACAGAGAGGGAGAGACTGCTGCAGGAGATGGTGTTTTTGTATGACCACAAACAGCTGATCTAGTGTTGACGTATGTATTATGCTTAAATACTGAACTTTGCTGAAGCACTTTAGTGCCCTTACAACTGAGCAACCATTTTGAGCTCTAGTAATTGATTTGCTCAGAGGTTTGTACAGAAGAGACCTCTGTCAGTTTCTGCCTTTGATGTTGCCCTGGCATGCAACAAGTTGAGGAGCGGGGGAAAACAACTGCACAGGAGACATTGTAAACCTCGAGAGAACTGGCAAAGGGATTCCTGGGTAATGGGGAGGAATAGACGCTACTTTTACCGACTTTAGGCATAAGCAGATTAAAAGCCCAATTAGAGTAATGCATGAGGAAATGAACAGCCCCAAGGAGGGCTGTTAGGTATAAAAATACAGCTTTTTCT